CTGATAGTGTGATCTATCTTTTTATCTATTGTAAAATAGTTGTCAACCGGCCCTCCTGGACAATTATTCTCAACCAGAATTGTCATTAGTCTCCTCAGTTCCTGGTTCCGTTGTTTAGCCCCTGCTAGACGCAGGCTCCTTAGTAGCATAGACCTCATAGCTCCTACTTTAATACAATAAGTGTGATTGGGGAAGAAATTAAAAAGGAAACCTGCATTTGTGGGTTTCCTATACACATCTTGACCTAATCTGGTCCCTTCATTGCTAACTAGGGCATCAAGAAAAGGTAAACCACCTTCCTTTTCTAACTCCATTGTGAATTTCGTTTCACATCGAGCTTGTTCATCAAACCAAGAAAATTCTCCAAGTTATCTTTTTCATTTTGTCAAATAACAAAATATTCGTCCATATAGCGAACTAATGATTTAGGAATTAAAATTACCTCCTGAATTAAACGTTCATCAAATTGAGCCATGTAATTATTTTTTTTAACTTGTGACAAGCAAGATCTACTTTTTACCCTCTTATCCAAGTCCGCTGTCTGATGCTGGGAATCATGACAACTACTATGGCTGACGACTTCATACTAGGTGCGTTCTACTAAGTCGCCTTGACAACAAGACCAAGTTACGACAACGAGGTCAACCCACTTCTATAAAACTAGACAAGTTTCATCAATCCTCTCAAACAACCTGATTCTTTTATCCGGAGCATACAATGATCTATCACGGACTTTTGAAAAAAAGGCCAACAGGTTGTCTGTAGAAGTGACGACTCGATTCCACATGAGATACTGAGCCTTCTCAGTTTGTGTGTTTTTCTCATCCCGTCATGTTTCGGCATGACACGATCCCGTGCCTAGACGAACTACACCGTGTTGGTTGGTTGCCCGGCACTTGAGTAGAATCTACAGCCGTTCACCCTGCCGCGTCCCCAACACGAAAGCCAATATTCACAATTTGCCAAGACTATGGAATGAACGAGAATGTAAGCGATCTTAAGCTTGATCGGATCTGTTGATTCCGCGAACTGGCTGACCGGAGCACGGAAATAATTCGAAATGTGAATAAAAGCCATTTTGTATGTCTCGCTTGCATCTACTACTTTCCTCACGCTTTCTTGCCCGGACGTATGGGAAAAGAGGGAGGGTATTGTGAAAATGTTCATTCATCCGCAACCAACTTGCTTTAACATGCACATACAAACACACGCATGTGGCTGGCCATAATGCGTTATGGACACGCGCCTGCTCCCCACTAAGCCTCCAATACATTTCCCCTCTTGACCATAAAGCAGTGACGGTTAACATGCCTGTGCGCATGTGTCATTGTGTGGATAGGAATGTGTACAGTATTCACGTCGACATGCACACCTGCGTTGATATTGACGCTGGAGTACGAGCCCAGTCGTGGTAACCAAACAGGTTGCTACCAGCCCGACAACAGTGACCCTGTGCCGGACTGGTGAAATTGACTTAAAGAGGCCTGAGGCGTGTTAATTGACAAGGTTGGGGAGAGGCTGAGGTGGGCGTGTCACGACATGCAAAGTGGAGCCGGTACTCGCCTCATCTGACCCGGTCTGTTTGTATCCCTTTTTCATGCATTCGCATGTTTCTGCTTTCCCCTCGCCTCGTTTTGCCTCACTTCACCTCACCTCCTCTCTTTTACTTTGGTCGTTTTGACTAGTGATCATCACATCTTCTTCACACATTTCCCTGTTCCTCATTCTGGAGGTCAACTCGGCTCAGGCTTGCAGGCCTCCCAGCCCGACTGGGTTGTGTAAGTTTACCGACAAGGGCACAAGCCCGAGTCACACTTTCTTCACTCCTCTCGCCATGTTGGGCGTCACTGCGGCATTTGTTGCCAATGTTACCAATAGACGTGAATGAGAGGACACAGTATCGGGTCACCATTCACTTTGATTTGACCGTAACTTTTTATTGCAGCTATTCCCTACGTTAATAGCCCGCCTCCCTCGACAATCCTAACCTCAGCAACCCTTGCGATACAGTAACCTCATTAACAGAAGACCAGTTTCCACCTGTAATGTGTTTATCTTGGTTGATCGGCACCTGCACTTGCAAGACAACTGCAAAATAATCACGTTGCGAAAATTTGTTGTGATGACTTTCAGCTTATGTGATATGTCGATCTCCTCCTAATACAATGGCTAACATAGGAACTGTATTTACCTTAAGGTGATGAAGGATTGATAGTTGATTTTTTTGACATGACTTTTTATTTCCAAGGTATAGTTGGTTGAGAGGAGGTTGTGAAGTCGTCTCACTGGAAACCGAAGGAGGATTGAGAATCGTTGGATTGTGCAAAAAGTTTATCGGCTCATTAGCTTTCGAAGCCCAGTTTTTCTTCACGTACGATAGTTACATTTTCCTTTTATAATATATGAATAGGCCTACGCTTCCATTGGATTTCAATTCGCCTTGCCTTCTGGAGAAGGTTACCTTCTTGGAAGGAAGGCCATGTGAAATTCAATGAAAACGTGAGGTTTACTCATAGCATTGTTTTAAACGTCAACTAATCAGTTTTGAAACCTAGCCAAACAGTATAATGGCTACTATGACATTTCCTTAGCCACAGTCTACGAGACATCTAATTTTGGTATGCATGAGAAGGAGCTGTCAATGCGAACAACGTTATTTTCACATATCAAGTTTGAAACCGAGTTTTTGCTTCAGATTTATAATGTTGACAAAGTTTTTTTAATCTTCTGGTCAGAAGGGTGGTGCAAAATAGCAGTGGTGCTTATCGGAAAGCAATAAATGCTGATTCTATGCAGAATTTCTCCCAAACGCATGGGTACAAATGTAAGATTTTAGGTATGAAAACTAGCTTGGTTATAGACGTTGTTTGACCTTGTTTTCGCAACATGGTCATATTGGTAGGAAGACTTTTTGGAACGCACCTAGTCCTGGGTCCATTGTCTGTATGATCATTTCCAAAGTTGAACCGTGGACGTG